TATGCAAGATAATGGCAGCGTCTTTTTTCGAAACTCCGCTACGTTGTCCATCCATGATTTTTCGTTCTATGTTTTTTGCAGTTTCCTTTCAACTCTACATTTATTGTGCTTGACAAATGGTCGTTCTTCCAACGAGATGGCGTAACGCATGGGTTCTTGCATCTCCCGTACACTAAAGAAAAAAAGAAGTGAAAAGGAGCTCATGGCAACGTTATTCTCTTCGCGTGGTGGAAACAGTTGGTGGAAACAGTTGGAAACAGAAAGAAAAACAGAGTCAGCATATTCAGAAGAGTCACAGCCCTCAGATGAAGCGTGTTTCAATTGGCCTCTGTGACAGAAGCATCGACGTATTCGCAACGCCCATGAACTGCATTTTTCGCTCTGTATGATTGAATATGGCACTCGGAGGACGGACAACTCGTTTGTTAACGTAGGAACACATAGAACGTGTGAACGTACAGCCCATTCTACTTCCGCCAGATCATGTCATGAGCTGTACTGAAATTAATATGAGACCAAAATATTTTTTGAAACATTAAAAGCTGGCCACCTAATTATTTGCTGAGTTGTGAAAGGTTATGCCTCAGCTCCGTTACTGTGCATGAACGATGCTTTGCAAAATCTTGTACATGCTGCAAAATCGACGCTTGAAGTAAAGAAGATCCCACGTACAGTGGGAATCGCTTGAAGACCCAGACGTCTGTAACAACGCGGCAGTGCGTAAGTGTTGTAGCAGTCACCCGCGGTACCAGAAGCTGAGATGCAGCAAACCATTGGCTATTATTGTATACTCTAGATGATAGACGCTTCACTTGCTACGTTGCTATAATCGGCATACAGTTCTTTCTTTCCATGTCTTTGATCGGCTATCACGTTTCCTCCTTACCGAGTGCCGAGTAAATTGAATTCGTACCATTACTGTTGTACTCCCTCGAGATAAGAAACTTCTTGGCTAAGAAACTGCGCAGCCAAAAGAAATCTTTGTGAATTTGGCCTCTGTTGCACAGATTGTCACGCACGCCTGTATGCTTCGTTAAGACGTGCCACACACTATAACGACAGAAGAAGAGAGACAACTTGAACCGCCCCTTTTTCGTGCTCCCCATCGCCTTCTAAGCGTAACGCGCATATGAGCCACAACATGCCACCTCAGTTCGAACGGTATAGCAGAACGCTTCTATCGTCATGTGAAAGCATCACTAGAGGCACAGCATTAAGCAATTCTTTGAACACAGCGACTGTCTTTGGTTCTGTTCGGTCTTCGCACTGATCTTAAAGAATACACTGCGCTCGTCCGCAGAGCTAGTTTTCGGCCCGACACTTCATGTACACGGTGAGTTCTTTGCCTCCGAGTTGTTATCAGCTGGGTTACACTCTTACGCCAACCGCCTGCGAACTACTAATGTTACGGGTGTATCAGCACCAATTCGTCATGATGGCAAGACCATCTGAAGAGACCGTCATTAGTTCATACCAGCCTTGTCTTCTTCCGTCACGACGCTACTCATACTTCATTGCAAGCGCCTAATGACGGTCATTTTCAAGTCCTCAAGCGCGATCCTATGTAGGATCGGGTACACCGTACCCTTTTCGAAGGGTGTTCAGAGAACTGGCGTGGCGCTGTGTTACAATATTTGATTACAGCCCAGTACGCGTGGGTTTGATTTCTGGTGGGACCATAAAATATAGTCTTTGCATTCGCCGGGTCAACGCTGCCAATTTCAGTGTTGCTTAACAACCTCGCATTCAAACTATCAATGTCTGTCCTCATCGTTCCTCGCTAGATGTACAGCTGAAACACATGTGGCACATACCCGCATACCGTGGTATACGGGTATAGGCCACACGTGTCGGGAGGAAAGGGTTCGAGCTCACACGCGTAGAAATTAGCACATTTGTGTAATGACCAGACAGTAATAACTGTCGAACCCTCGTACCATGCCATAATAATTTTGGCAGCCAAGTTAAGGAGGTGATTACGAAAGTACCCACACGTGTCTGCAGTGCACAAAGAAATGCTTCGCATATAGCAACGCTTGCGGAGCCTCAAGGATTCATAATAGGTGCTGTTTTTTATATATTATACATGAACGACATTTGAACATACCATGCCCTTGCTCCTAATATAGTTTGTTCGCTGACGACACCAGCTTTTTTTTTCGGCAATAGTCTTGAAAATGCAGTTACAGTGGGATATCTGTAAAACCAAATAGAATCCTGACAAATGTTCTTTTCGTATTAAGTTTAATGACGCTATAATCGAACGTACTCCTGTTTTCAAGTTTTTCCGAGTTTTCTTTGGTGCAAACCTTAGTTTGTCGTATCTTACTACATGCAGGCCAGGGTCTCGTTCTGGTAGCGCTCAGGTAGTAGTCGAGGGACTATTTGTCATCTTCCGGTTTGTGATAAGATTACGTGCTGCGGGATGCAAACAGGCATATTAAGGGTGCTTCATACTCGCCGTCATGGCTACTGCTGGCGCTAATTGATACTTTCTAGTTACATTGCATGTATATACCCCATAAAATGCATGGGGTATAGACACCGTGGTAGCTCGGTTGGTGGACCATAAGGCGCGCTATTCGAAGGTTACGGATTCGGTTGCTGCCTACGGCAAGTTGTCTTGGCGTGCACTTTTATTTCTTCACATTTGCATTACAATTACTTCTAATACTATACACTAAACGTTCCTTGGCATCATTGCCTGTTCTCAACAACATGTTTTCTCGTCATTATGCCTACGAAGTACATACGGTGAAAATTGAAAAGTTTGTTTGCGCGGAGCAAGTCACAGGAAGAAAAGAGGAAATAGCAAGGGCGATTAGGCAGCGAGTTTCAGGGCCACAGCTTCGATTGGCAGACGAATATTGTGTGAGAAAAAAAAAGCGATAGCTTTTAACTTGGGCTCTGATAATGAGCGTGTGAGCCAATTCTATCCATTATCAATAGATATATCTGCTTCACAGCCTCGTTGTATACACGTTTTGGTATTGATTTTATGTCCACTGTGTAGGATATCGAAGATGTGCTGCTCTACTAGTGCCTAAGGGCTGCTGGTTTTCGGTGCTTGAGAGCCTCACTGAGTGACCAATGCTGCAGCATACTTTCCTGAGCACTGAAGCTTCTTGACTGACCACGCACTGACGCTGCTTGGGTTTTTCTGCTTGACTTGAATGTGCTACAGCAGCCAGCGACGATAATGTTGAGTGACGGGGTGCTGTTTGCCACTACAGTGTACATGGTAAGCTGACCTTGTTTATTGCAGCTGTGCGTCCGAAAAGTGTCACTTAGGTAGAAAAATAACTGGCAGCTGTAGACGTGGATGTATGTTTCTAGGATGAAAAGGGGCTGTGTTCGACAGAAACTTTTATCAATAGCGTAATCGTTTTTTGGCGCAGTCTTTGGTCCATAAATACGGATAATTATTGGAAACAAGTTTTGTGGAACTTGAAATTCACCCAAATGAACATAGTGCTGTGCGGTTGCAATGAAAAAGGCTTCAGCAAGACTGAAAATTGCACAACGTTTTATTTCAGCCAGCTTGAACCCCGAAAATGTCACATGTTTCCACATTTACAGGTGAAATAGAAGAGACAGAGCTGCTGGGGACAGGTTCATTGCCAGTAAAGTAATGTCATGTGTTTTGTGATTTGATATTTTATGAGGGCTAGAAATATTTCAGTGCGCACCACACCACATGCATTTAAAACAGTCTTTGTGGTCTGTCAGAGTGCGCTTGATAGCCCACACAACTTTCTTTCTGATGTGCACGATAACTTGACGAATTTACGCTTCAACTTTGCTAGAATCGTTGTCTGTCTTTTGCAGGATTTTATCTACCCTGAAACTAACTGGTAAAATCTAACTTATCTAACTTCCCCTTCACACAGATCCAGAGTAGTGCTTTATCTAACATTTGATTTCTCTTACGTTCAAATAACTTATAAACCCAAGCACTATCAAAAGACCATTCACCTGCTTTTATCTTCAGCTTCTGAAAAATTTACATCAGCGTTATATCTAAATGGTCTCACCACCATCCTATTCAGTTGTCTGTTTACCTGCACGTAAGCACCATGTTTCTCAAAGACCCATTATTTATTATAAAACAGGCGATTATCAATCCATAAATCGTATTTTAGAAGACGTCTTGCACTCACTTATGGTCCTTTTCTTCAATCACTCAGTCAATGAAGGTTGGTGCCTTGACGAATGAAAATTGTTGAGCGTATATGCACATTTATACCCTGGTACACTCATGATGTCAAAAAATCAACGTGAACAAGATGGAAAACAAGAATGGAAAGACACAATACGAGTTCTGTCTAACAATGTCACCTAAGTTCTTTGTGCACGCAAGTGTTGGTTTTCGTTGTGTTCATCCTTGCTTCACTAAACTTCAGTTGCGAAGCGCTAATAGTGTGTCATTTTATTCTTGTTAATCGTTCTGTTTGCGCAGATTTTTTTTCCCACCATGCATCTATTTCAGCTCGCCCGCTTCACTAACTTTCTGATATAGCCTCTCATGGGCTTTTTATTGAGCTTTGTTTTCAATGCCATAACTCGGCATCCTACGCCATTGATTGATAAATACGTAGTACCACATGATGCATGCCATTGAAAAATTCGTGGTGTTCCTGTGAAACATATCTACAAAGTACGCATCATTGTCTCTTCCTTGCGAACTCCGACATTACAAGCTTTACAGTGTTTACAGTAGTTCTAACGTACCTTTTGAACAATTGACAAACTTCAACATTGTGGAAGGAAGAAGGGACCGAGCTTGTGGGTAATCCCCCAATGCCTGATATTTGTTAGTTGGGTGCAATCATAATGCCACACAGTACATTGTATTTGGACAGGAAAGTCATGACTCTACCAGAAATTTTACGTCAACAGCTTGCAGCCCTACAGACATGTGCGACAAGCGATCCCCGTCGTCCCATCTACGTGTTCGCGCATATGGCGAACAGCCTAGAGGAGTTCGAGGGCTTCTTGGCTCAGGGTGTCAACGCCATCGAGGCTGACGTCTCATTTGCCCCGAACGGAACGGTGACGGACTTCTACCACGGTCCCGGCTGCGACAGTGGACGCGAGTGCGAAAGGCGAACCGACGCAGGCGTCTACTTCAACCATGTCAAGCGCACTGTTAGCGCAGGTGGGTTTGTCGCACAATTTTATGCGCACTCTGTGTCTGAAGAGTCTGCATCTATTTCATTCTCTTGAAAAAAAAAAGAAGCGAGAAGGAAATGCCACCCAAACGGGCCTTCGGTTACCAAGCCTTGCGTTGGAGGGGAAATATCTTTCAATCAGGAGTGTTTGCGCTTCTGAGCAATAAAAGTCAATGCGTCGGAGAAGTCAGCTGACAGGGAAGCGACGAGGTGGTCAAAGTTGTCATCTCCGCAATCTATTGTACGTAGTGGCCTCCTGGAAAGGCACTCTGCAACAGAAACTTCGAGCCCACCATTGTACGAAATAGGAAACAAATATTCTTATAAAATAAGGGTTCATCTAGCGAGGCATCCGTGCGGGTCACGAAGGTTTAACAGCCAGCAGAGGGTGGTCTATGACTATGGTAAACGGGCGACAGTAAATGTTGGAGTGAAACCATTGCGTGACAAATACTCCAGCGGGGCATTCCGGATCGGTTACAAAGTAGTTGCGTTCGGGCTTGCTAAGGGAACGGCTTGCGTACGCTGCGACATGTTCTTTGTTGCCAAAGCGTTGAACGAGAACAGCCCCGATGCTGACACCACTTGCTCTTGTGTGAATCTGTGTTGGCGACAAAGGGTGGAAGAGTTGGGGTATTGGCTATAAAGTTAAGAGAAAGTTCGGCTAGCGAAAAGCGGCATGACACTCAGGATTCAATTAAAAGAGAGTGCTCTTGCGTAGGAGATTCGTCAGGGGGTCCCCGATATCGAAAAACTCTGGTATGATCATCATCATCAGGCTGACTTTGCACACTGCAGGACAATAGTCTCTCCTATGTTCTGTCAGTGAATGAACCACCAGAAATATGAGCAGTGCTCTACGAAGCTACGAAGCTGTTTCCCAGATAAGGAGGTTCAAATGATGCAACGGCTGCTGTCTTGTGTGGGTGTGGTCTTGTGCCATTTTTATCCACGAGATGTCCTAACACTAATGTTTGACCCTTGGCAAAATGACATTTTTTTTTAAATTGAGCACAAGCCCTGCCTTTTTCAATGCAGTCGAGCACAATATCCAGACGAGTGTTGTGCTCCTGAATTGTGCATCAAAAAATCACGAAATCATCAAGGTAGCACATAAAATATGCCATTTCAAACCCCGCAGTATAGTGTCCATGAGTTTTCCGAACTTCGCAAGCCCGATAAATATTCGGAATTTCATAGCAGCAGACAAAATTACGACGCAAATAGGGCACATGAAGTATACCGCATTTTTTTTTGTCGAATCGACCACCTGGAGTTGTTAACATAACTGTACACTGCATATGTTGAATTATTGAATACTGTTACTCGATATGAATTCCTTCCTTTCCTCCTCCTCAGAGCAAGTTGTCTAGACCTAAGGCTATCACGTTTAAAATGCTGCAGACCAGGTATTATCCAAGTCTCTGTTTCCTCACTATGGTCTCCTGAGAGGCATTTGAGTCTACTTATCCTGATTGTGGGGTGGTTAGTAACTTAAACATATGCTTTCGCGACGCCCCTCGTTACGGGGCCTAAGTCGACTCACAGAGAAGGATTGGGACTCTGCCTTACGAAGTTCACAGTCGCTACACAACCACGGGCTGTCCTCAGAGCCTATACGATGCGGCGGTGAGGCTAGGCGTTTTCGTTACTACGTGGCTGCGGCCCGTGACGTTGTCCTATAAGAGTAGCGCCTCTCAGTACCCAATAAATTTTTGTGTCTGTCCGAATCCTTTATAGTGTCCTGAAACGCAAAAGGCGTCATGTCTTCCTTATAGCATGGCCGGTAATTTTCAGAGGGCGAGCAGATACTTGACTTGCAAGCAGGGAACGCGGGGCAAAGGGGAAGCGAGTGCCGGAGGGCTACTTTAGGGACGAAGCTCCTTAGGCTGTGGGCCTTTCCTCCTCAGTAGTGGTTGCAGTAGTAGTAGTAGTAGTAGTAGTAGTAGTAGTAGTAGTAGTAGTAGTAGTAGTAGTAGTAGTAGTAATAGTAGTATGTAATCACCTTTACTTTATGAATTGTCTAATAATGGCATTGTGTGTATATGTTGTTGGAAATATCACTGAATGGCGTTAGTGGTTCTCGTCCAGTAGACGATTTTGTATAGTTGACGGACGGACGAACAGACAAACAGATGGATGGATGGAGGCCCGGATGGACGCATGGACGTACAGACGAAGGTGTGGACGGATGGAGGAATGGACAGATGAACGCGCGGACGGACGGACGCTTCGCCCCACTCATCATCATTCACTCCGTAATATCATATAATTTTTTTATTATAGGGATGGTGCTATGACCGAGACTCGGGCTGTAATCACCGCCTCACGGGGTGTTATAGTGCTCAAAAAATTATGTATCCTGCTGAAAAAGTTCAAAATAACGCAGTTGTCACAACAGAGCATTGCCACGTAACACTTTCTCCACCCACGTCCGGATATAAATGGTGGCGTCCACACGGTGAAACCATCCCGCGAACCAAGATCATTGCGAGACGAAAGTGTGAGAGATAAAAGACGCCCTCACGCAGCCTTATTCGTGTTTTTGCCGAAACTCAGTGGGTTTACCATACATCGCCAGCCGTCGCCGGCAATCACCAAGTCCCGGGTTCATCTCATGCCAGCAGAAACTTTCCCTTTGCCGCCTAATTACCGTAATTTGGTTGGCATAGTTCCGTGCAAGAAGTGCTTCATAAATGTTTTGGTGAACCGCGGCATAAAGTCTGTTGTTGGAACGTCAGCTAGAGCACACAATTCATGATAAAATATTTTTATAAGCTTCCATTTTCCACTTTTTTTCACTTTCGGATTTCGTGTTGAAAGTGACACCATCCAGTTTGTATTCGCCTAAGAGTACTCAAAGGCAGAAGGCGTCCTGTTTTTCTTCATTTTTTTCATCTGAGTCATTTATATTGAACCTAATGTTCAGCAACACCTCACACTAAGCAAACAAAGTGGCTTCAAACAACTGAGGCATGGTCTCACTGAGATCTTTCGAATTCATTGCGCTTGAACGCAGTGTCCGTGAGGTCAAGTTATGGTGATTCGTGCACACGTGTTTAACGTGCGTTATTTTTGCATGAGTGTGTGCTGACTCCTCAAAGCACTAAAATACTTTAACGGGCTGAAATACTAAGAAACCACAATTTGATAGATTCACGCATGAGAATGGTGTATTTTGTTTGTTTTTTTGCATCAGAAAACGGACGAAATCGGGACAAAATGCTACTGCTATACGTTGACATTAAACCGGGAAACCTGGCCGGAAAGAAGGAAATGTATGCAGGCGGCGTCAGCCTGGCACAGAAACTCATGCTTCACCTTTGGAATGAAGGTTAGTATCAAGAAAGCCCTGTTTTTTTTTTCTGCAATGCCAATTATAGGCTTTCGGGCTTTAGTATTTTACGTGATTTTTTGGTAAACGGTATGTCGATAGAAGGTGTTTATTCATCGTATGGGGAATGAATGCGGGAGAAACGGGTGATATGCCCGCGAATACCGCACTGTAGCAGAAGTTCATTAGCCATAGCGAACGTCGTGCAGTACATCCGGATCACTCCAGCCTCCCGGTTTCATGCCGCGCCTATCAGCTTGCTCCTGATTGCATGCACCTAGCCAAAACGGAGTTCGAAGTCTCACTCCGCGAAGATGACACCCGTACCTCCAAAGGCCCATGGGTCTCGCCACTTCTCCTTGTCACAAAGACCGATGACTGGCGTCTCTGTGGGGACTACCATACATTTAGAAATAAAATAAACCGGACGGCTGTTTTAGCTGTTAATAGATTTCACTGGAGGCATAAGGCGCCTTGACGTAAGAATGCGTTGTTGTCGGGGCCTCACCTGTGGACTGCAACCACAATTGTTGCGCTGGCCGAAACTCACCACATCAATATGTACACACTAAACGAAAATGACCTGAAATAACCTCAAAAACTGGGTAAACCATTTGTCCTCTAGCGCACTAGCTTTCCTGGTTTTTTTTTTACCACCTACTATCGAGGTAAATATTTACTCTCGTGCTAACTGAGTTTTTGAACGTAGGGAGAGTAGTAATTATTTACCCCAGTGAGGCTTTGAGCGAGTATAGAGAGAGTAAACTTTTACTGCCTTCACAAGGTTTTTGAGGTGACTTCTGGGAGTTATTTCCGGTGGTAAAAAAATAAAAATTGACGGATGCATTCGCCCAGAGTCGACAAATTTATTAAATAGCAGAATTGGTTGAATTTAATAAACGGCAGAATTGGTGACACATAGATTCACCTACAGCCAAACACGCACACACAACAAATGCAGAATAATACACCACTCGAACAGATTTCAAGCGTTGCTCAACTACACTTTGACAATCCAGTATATATAGGCACGACTTTTGACCAGCCCTGTAGTACCGGTAGGAGAGCTCTTTTTTTGCATTGATTAACAACAACGGTTGAAGGTGCAAGCGTAAACTTAAGGTGGGCTGCAGGGCACTAAATGTCACACCGACCTTTTATAGTAAATCTACCCGATCTCACCTTTTTGAGTATCCAATAATTACTTGGCACACCGGGCTCATGGCCCCACGCGTGTTAGCACTGCTGATTCACAAGTCTATAAAATATACCTAAGTACGCACAAACCATGGTAGCTCAATGATTTTCATTGAGCGACGGTGCACAAACGCCGTAGCAGCACGTATTCATCACAACGGGCGTAGAGGAGCGGTGCACGCCTGCACACAAGCTTCTTACCGACGGCGTACTAGGCCTTTTCGAGGAGCACGGCTATCTGATAAAACATAGCTGCGGATCACAGAACACATATCCTGTGCGAATTTGGTCGTCATTTCAGACACAAATGAACACGTGACCGCTATCTTACGGGGACGGGGCAGTGTATGCATACTTCCAACGAAAGATCACCGTCCGGGTTTTCTTCGTGCTCACCTGCAGCCACTTGTTGGTTCCGTCTGCCTCGTATCGGCTTCGCGCTACATGTTTGAGAACAGTTGGTGCATGAGATGGGCAATTCGGGCAGCACTTTACTCATGCAGACATCGCCTACTGTGGAACAAGATATATGCGATGCTTCTTTCACCTGCCACGGCGACACACTCCCACTGGTCACTGGCGGCCGCGTCTCGGTGCCGACGACAGAGTGAAGCATTTTGCTTATTGCTTCTCCAGTAGGCAAGCACGGACGATGACACCAAATTTATTTTGTTACCACTGGCAGATCTTCACGATTCGGCTCGGAAGCGAGATATCCGCGACATGCAGGTTCGGAGGCGCTCGGAAGCGCACAATCGCTCGATGATGTAGGAAACACGTCAGATCCATCAGCCCAACGAGACACACAGATACCGAGCTTCTTGCACCGTCTGTCTCCTAGGCCACCGCTGAGCAAAAGCCAACAATTTGCGAAAATATGCAGGACAACTTTCCACAGCAGGTTTTCTTTCTTTTTTTCCTTCTTTTGAGATCCCCCCCCCCCCGTCTTTTTTTCTTTTTCGCTCACAGAATGCTGTTTTCGCTTGTTGTGTTTATGCTGCCCCCAGTTCCAGTGAAAGTGCGTTGACTCGAGGTCAGTCCTGAGGCACGGCGATACCAAAAAAAAAAAAAGATCTGTGGTCCTCGCGTACCTTCATGATTCACTGAGAGCGTCACAATGGGGGGCGTGGGGCAAAAGCCACCGAAGCAGCTGCACCTTGCAGTCACGTGGTAATAAACTCTGAAACGCAGGTTAAAAATCACGTGATAGAAAACTCCCTACGTGGTAAAACTGGATTTTGACATCCTTTTACTACTTGCCTGAGAGGTGGTGGTAAAACTATGTCATGTACCATCTTTTACTCCTACACGAGGTAGTAATTTTAAACCCGAGAGAGTTTTCAGAGTTCATGAGCCGCAGAACCCCCAAACTCGGATAGTTTTTGCTTACAGTGTACGTTACATCGCACAGCAAGTCTTGGGCGTTGACGAGTACAGAAACATGGCGACGAGGCTCCTCGTGTACAATGAGGTGACTCGTAGTAAAAAGATGAGCAGGCAATTATATTCGTGGCAAACATCGACATCTGCGACCGTCCAGGCGTGTAAACTTTGAAGTAATGCGGCGAGTCTCCAGGGCCTAAAGACTCGACAGTGCTTTGTCAAGTTGGCCACACAATAAAGACTCTGCTTGCCAATAAGGAAGTGGTAAATGCCTCCCGCTATCCCATCGAGAATGTGGCCAACTTTGTCTCCTTCCGTGGGCATCTCCTGACTGGCACGATTCCCATAATTCTCCAATATTACTTTGCAAGTCTCACCCCACTTGACCTCTCTGTGACAACTTCTCTACGTTTCTCTGTTTCATCTCGGGGTCTCCAAGGCAAGTCTTGATCTCCGTGAGTTGTTTCTAGGTAGTCAAAATGTCCTCCGGCTTCGTTTGGCAGTAGCTGGCTTACCCCGCACCTCAACCACAAGTGTGAAGTGTTTATTTACTGCACGGAGAATGATTGCAAAAGGTACAGCCCCCAGTGAAAAACAGCCAACCAAGCCATTCGCAAACCAGTGCAGCTCCGCTCTTGTTCTTTTTATCTGTCCTTTGATTGAATAATTCACTGTGCTCCAATACCCGCAGAGTGGCAGCCATAGCTCAAATGGTCTGACAGCAAGCCCGCCTCACCGAGAGAATCTATTCTACACGTTGCGTTATAGATTGTGGCAAGGCCTACTGTCGGCTTTACTAACCTTGCAAATTCTACCATTTAAATAATGTGCTCAGTTCCGTCTTGATTTTTCCCCCTTTGGCGCCTTCCGCGGTACGTAAAAAGAAAAGTCACAGTTTCAACTCACGGGCAAAGCAGTATGTATTCAACAGCAAGACGTCAGAATGCAAAAAGAAGCAAAGAAGCTAACATTTTGCCTCAAGGTCTGATGTGTAACACGTGTGTAATGCAATACGACCACTAAAGAAAGCGAAGTAGTTCGCGTGTTCTCTTTCGCTTCAATGCGGAGTGGTGAGAGCACAGCAAGTAAAAAGGTATCAGCCGTGAGCCAGCCACTCTAGAGGTACAAGGCACGCACGGATGCGAGCAGCCACGCATCTCGTCCGGTAAAAACGCAGACGTCTCCCCCTTTTCAAGCAGCTATCTCCATGAGAATTATACCCGACGAAAAGAGAACGGGTTGATTCCTTTCACATTAGCGCGCGGTCAGTTACGCACAATCGCTATAGTGGCCAGTATAGACGCCTCGCTTTCATCTGTGATTGCATATCGCTTCTTTATTTTCAAGACATGCCACATGACATACCAGTATTATTATTGCTACTATAGGCGAGAACATTTTGCTCCCACAAAGATTGGCTTCCAAGCGTGTGGTGGCACAGCGCCTTTGACAAAGAGAGATTATTGAATGTCTGAAATAAGTGATTGTTCAATTATTTTATTTTGTGCTGGGAAAAAGTGATCCACTGATGTTTATTGATGTACTCAAATGTCTGAGTACTCTCTCATCAGCAAGGTTGAGTTCATCTTCGTCAAAGGCACCTTGACATCCTGGGCTGGTTTGCTTTAGGAGGGTTAGTATTTTATAGCGAAAGCTGTTATGAGACCACAACACGGATCACGTGCGCACCGTAGTGGTTCGCCGCCGACGCCGGTGTCTGTAACCACTATCGCACGAATAAAAAACGAAGTCAACAAAAAAATATTGGCAGAACCCACGTACTGTGGCAATCCATGATTTGCGAAGCACAAAAGAGAAGGTTCATATGTCACATTAAAATGAGCACAACGTCATGAGGTGGGCGTAACTTATGCCGCACTTGACTTCTATGGCATGATTATCTTGTTTAGATGTGTCATTTGCTTTCGTTGTTCAAGTCACAATACCAAATTTCGTATATGTGTGAAACAGCCTCGTGCACGCCATGAGCGTAGTATGTAGTCATGTTTTAGATGACACGCATATCATGATTACTATGTTTGGACGTGCCATTTAACTTCATAACCTAATCACGTCATGTGATACAAAATTTGGTATATGTGGAGCTAGAGAACTGGCCATGAGCGCCCTATGAGCGTAGCATGTAGTCAATTTTTACATATAACGCATGTCACGATTATCATGTTTAGACGTGTCATTTACCTTCGTCTTTCATTCACGTCACATAATACCGAATTTGGTATACGTGAAGCTGGCGAAACGCCCGCGAGCACATCGTGAGCGTGGCAAGTAGTCATGTTATTATATGACACGCATCTCATGAATATCATGTTTGCAACTGTCACGTACCTTCATCTTCCAAACACGTACCGCAATACCAAACTTGATATATGTGAAGCTAGTAGAACCACCACGAGTGC